ATGGAAAGTGAAAAATACAAATACCCGTTGAGCAAACCAGACGTGAGCCTGCAGGCGTGTTGTGCAGTTTAAGGGTTAAGCGAGTCACATACACACCCAACAGTTCTCCCTCCCTGACTAACTCCCTCCCTCCCTTCCCAAGCTTCCCTCTCCAGACACCACCCACCCACCCTACTCCCTCCTACACCATGTGGCTGAACGGCAGCAAGTTAACCGGCTCCGATTTTTTATCCGGCCAAACCGGCTTTTATCTGGCTCCCATGGACATTTTGTCCGGATATTGAGATAACTTTATCCGGTCACGATTTTGGCCGTATAAGGGCCTTTTCCGGATATTCCAATCCCGGATAATCGAGTGTTTGCAGTACTCATTCCATTTTTGCGTCGTTTGATCTCTGGCCCTCTCGCAATTTCTGTTGAACCAATCCTGATTTCTGGCCCTGCATATCTGTTTTGGTATGAATGTTTGTGTGCCTTCATCGTATATTTTGCAAAATTTTGCATACATTTCATTTACTTCCCTGCCTATCAACAAGTCTGTCCAATTACACACTTTAAATTTTTTCGAAGTTCCCCATAGTGACCTCTCCTTAAATCGAGTTTATCAACTGTTTCAATGTCCCCATTTTCTTCTAGATGATATCTTAAAGCATATTTAATGTCTAACAGGACATGATCACTCTTTCCCAAGGGAGGAAGGTACTGGATGTCAAATATCTCTTCTTCTTTCCTGGTAAATACTAGATCCAATACTGACAGTACATCTCCTTCCCTCATTCTTGTTTCCTGCTTGATGTGTTGATACAAGAATGTCTCCAGAATGAGGATCACAAATGCACATGTCCAAAAGTCCTCCGTTCTTGCTTCATAGGCCTCCCAGTCTATTGCTTTAAGGTTTGAAGTCCCCCAGTATCAACAGTCTTGATTTATCTTTATCTGCTTGTACAATAATATCTCTTGTGACCATTATGAGGCCCTCTCGTTTGTCATCCAGTCCTTCCTTTGTCCACGTGTTGCTTGCTGGAAGTTTCGTCTCTGATAATGCGACAATATCTGGGACCCTAAGCTAAGTTATATCTTGCAACTCCAAAGTTTTTTACCTCACTCCATCGATGTTGGTATATACAATTTTCAGGAACATGTTCCCTTTCCCTTTGCTCTTTACTCCCCCCTTCCACTAATAATTTTGTTGCTTTCTTTTTATGTACCATTTCACAAGCTTTCCAGTCCCTGACACTTTGTAGAAAAAAAAGAATTTGTCTTCATTTATATCCCCATTTAGACATTTTGGTTCAATTTGGTTTATTTTCAGCTTTTCTCTGTCTTCCTTAGAGAGGTCTTGTCTTATTGACCAAAGTTTGCCAACCTCATCACTCTGTAATTTCCTGGCATGTCTAAGCACTTCCATCATGTTTTTCACTCCATTAACCACTTAACTGCACCAGCTGAGATTCTCGGTCGGCGGGAAACTGCGCCAACCAAGAAAAGTCTTTTTTAATTTTCGTATCCATTCTAAATGTGTGCGAGATTGGTTGTGTATGAAATGGAATCTTAGGTTCTCCAATGAGAGGCAGCCATCTTAGAAAAAATTCCCAGAATGCCCTAGGACTGCTTGCTGGGTTAGTACTGAATGATCAACCATCGGTGGCGCACGCACCTCTGGCTCCCAAACACCTGTCTGACACGTTATTGAAAGATAATGCTCTGTTGGTGAAATTCAAACCTTATTGTTTTAAGAACATAAGGGTTTAAGAACATATTGGTGAAGCTAGGCGCAATAAGGACCTAACACAAAGGTCGGATGCAAGTGATACAACACCTATGAGGACGATACTGCGAGCGTATCCAGTTGTAGCTCTGAGCATCACCCTTGCAATCCTAGGCTATCTCCAATGTATTTAGATGATACATAGATGAATCATTTTCTGCATTCAGTGATGATGCATCTGATACAAGTAGCATAGATGAACAGTGTTAGCGGCTTCCATGGTGGCATTTTCCATAGATATTTTCAAGAATACCTGAATCTCTTCTTGACTGACGGACACTCTTTGAGAATAGCTGAATCTCTTTGTGTGGGACCATACAAAGCGATATTTTCAAGACTACCATACAAATTGATCTCTTCCTATAATCTTTTCAATACTACCTTATGCTTTACAAGCTTGGCTACATACAACCTACAAGTATTAAAGCTAAGGGTGTACGTGAGTGCGTTATTTGCAAGCACACAGAATGAAGAAACAGGAAGCAAAAATTTATCTGTACCTGGTGCACTGAGAGCAAAGTCGCGCTGTGCACCATGGACTACTTCGTTGATTATTACTCTCTTCCGAAGTACTGAGTGTGTACTACAGTGTGTTACTGTATAAATAGCGTGGGAAACTGTACATATTGTATGTACATACTGCAATTTTAGTGAATTTTTAACAAGTAATATTGCGGCAATAAACATTTATTGTGGACACATTACTGACACATGTATCACAGTTTCATGGAACATTATGAACGTTCTACTGTATACATATTGTAAGGGACACAAATATGCATCATGTACGATAAAAAAAAAAAAATAAAACTGCATTGTAAATACATAAAACAAATAATTGAAAATGTATTTGTCGCAACACCCGGTGCTTGAATGGCCTGCGTGACCGTATCTGGGCGATTCACGCACAGGCGACCAGGCCTTGATGACGTCACAGCGCACCTTGTCCACGTCCCCACAGCCAAAATAAGTAGAATTTGGTATTTATTTTTACTTAGACATGTTCAGGGAAGGGAATTTATCATTTTATGAAGAAAAAAAAAAAGAATTTTTTGGGAACACTTTATTTCATGTGCACCGGGGGAATTTCACAATAAACTCTGCGCAGCATGGTGGTTAAACGTCACCCTTAACCCCTGCACTGCGCAAAGCGCCTTTATGCGCTCTGAGAGTTGTGCTTTTTTTTTTTAATTAGGCTATATTTTAATGTTTTCATTACTCTTTGTGTTTTTAAATGAAAATAGTTGAGTTTGGAAACATTTTGACATTAAATTTACCTGAATATTTATAAAAACAAGAATATGTCCTTGACAATTGCCCCAAGAAGTTTTTGCCGAAACCAGGTGCGCAGTGCAGGGGTTAAGGGGACGATTCTTGTCTTTCTCATATTTTCCTATTCTTCTAAAATCACTGACATTTTCCTTTGAGCCTTCTCCTAAACCTACTATTTTCTCTATGATTTTCTTCAATTCTGCTGCTCGGTCCACCCTAGATGAAATTTCCTTCTCTAAACATCCAAAATTTTTTATGGATTTACTTCTATCTGCAGTGTTTTGTACTAGTTTTCTGTTGGTAACCAGTTCTTTCCTAATTGCTTGCTGAATATCTGCTTCTTGTTGGTCATTTCTGGTTTTGACTTCTGAACACACTTCCTTGATTGTCTCTTTCTCTTTTACAACTTGGGCATATGTCACTTTTATTTCTTCTTTATACTTTTCTAGTTCTTTATCAGCCTCCTTTATTTGAGTTGCCAATGAAGTTTCTCGTTGCATCTCCTTGCCTAACTCCATGTTAGCCCTCGGGCTCCTTTCGAGTTGTTCACCATTTGTGTCTATTTTCTTGTTAATTTCTTCAAATTCCCTACTCTTCACTTTCCATGCCTCATATTCCTTTACTAGTTCCTTGGAGTGTTCCTCCTGTCTCCTTACGTTATCAGTCAAGCTCGAAATTTCCTTACCTTGCTGGAAAACACTTCCTTTTAAATTACAAAACTCAATCTTGAAACCTTCATTTTCTTGTTCTAATTAATAACCTTTTCTTCATAATTCTTTAGCAAGTCCTCAATGATCACTAACCTGCCAAGAAAACCACCTTTCATTGTATCTTGTTGTGAGAAACCTGCAAAAGTCCCTTTGTTGGGGTACTGTCTTTCCCCTGTGGTGGCGGCTATTTTTGTTTACCTTCTGCTATTTTGAAAGATCAAAGATTTGTGTTCACCATAGCGAACCACTAAGTCAATAAAAAAAGATTTGTGTTCACCATAGCGAACCACTAAGTCAATAAAAGGTGGCCTCACACAGAAGACTGTGGTCACACACACCATCATCCTCCTTTCCTCAGCATTACTCTTCCCACCATGGAGCACAGCGCTAAATATCACCACAATCCTGCTATTATCAGAATCCTGGTCAGTTTTATCACAGTCTAGGGTCTTCTGTAATTCTATCACTGATAAATAATAGCATGTACATACATATTTAGACATTTTTAGGTGATGCTGTGGTCACAAGCTGAACAGCGGTGCTGTGAGCTCATGCTGCGTGCGTCAGTCTTGGTGGCTCGCTCAGTACTGAGGCTCTCACACCCAGGAATGCTGACCATGATTTTTTTTCTAGGTGGTGCCTGTCAACTATTGGTCTTGGCTGCACTATCCCTCGCAGGGCGTTTAAATTAAAGCACTTGACACTAAAACAGCTATTAATGTATTGCACGGTATCAGTAATGTTACTCACATCATCTGTATATGTATTGCGCGGTCTAAGGGTTAGGGCAGTCGTCAACCGAGGTTCCACTGTAATATCAGACAGAGAGTATTGTTTTCGATCTGGAAGATCCTGTGTAATGAATTTACTCAGTTTTTATGATCGAGCCCCTGGGCCCTCCAGAGAAATATTTTCTTATTCCCTGCTTATTTTAGCAGAAAAATACACTTTACAGCTTGTACACATTTTTAACACTAGCTATTTGTAATAAGATATTATTTTTCTTAATTTTGTTAATAATGCATTGTGTTAAGTTGCTCCATTATATCAGTGTTTCTTTAATAGTGTTCATATTAATTAGGTCCCACTCTACTTTTAATAACTTTTACTATTCAGAATTTTATTGCTACAATTATATAGCTTAGGCCAAAGAACTAAATTTGTTCTACAGTTTTGAAAGTTCCCTTCATTTGTGGGCATGTGTTCTCACACACCTGTCAAAATATTAAACACAAGTATTTCTCAACAGAGGCATTGAAAGGTGAATGTTGGGAAGAGAGTGACAGCTACTGCAGTATGTTCATTAAAGAGAAGGAGGAGGATACAAAAGACCCTCTCCACTTTACCAGTGACCCCACAGAATGGCCATGCAAGACCTCCAACTCTAGTCAGGTGAGAAAATTGTAAATTGATTTTGTTTTGTTTGCACATCTGTGAAATAGGCCTGGACTAATAAATTAATTGATGAATGCTTTCTTAAACCTTAACCACTGCTTTGCACAGAGCACCTTAACCCCTTAACTGCGTTGCCTCCAAATGTGACACCCCCGCAGTGTGCAGGAAATAAATTCTCTGGAAAAAATTATTTTTTCTTTTTAAAGTGTCAAAAACCCTTCCCTTAGTATGGGTATGTTAAAAAAAAAGTCGAAATTGTACTTACTTTGGCTGCTATGGGGTCCGGAAGTTGGGGCGTGACGTCATCATTCCCCGTGCGCCCGTGCCGTAAGCTCTCGGCGTCGGTGGGGCGCGCGAGTTGCCGCGAATATATTTTCGTTCATTTTTTGCGCACCTTTCCAAATACATTTTCATTGTTTTTATGTGCCAATCCAATGTATAATGAACACGTACACTATAATATCGCAGTACAACATCCGTACTGTCCGTAGACACTGTGTTACGTGCATGAAACTTTTGTACACATATGCAGCACATATTTACTATGTATCATGCTAATTTGTGTATATATACAATCTATTTACACACTATACACTGTCACACACTATATACATTCACCATCAACACATTCAGAACACCGCAAGTGAGAGCTGCCACACCCAGCCAGCCCTCCCTCACTTCTCCAACATTGTATTCGCCAACTTTGCCCCTCCCATCATACAGTTATTCACACCAATGTTTCATGTTCATTTATGTATATTTACAACATATGTACTCACTATACACTGTCACACACTATATACATTTACCATCAACACATTCAGAACATCGCGTAGCAGCTGCTTCGTATGGGCCAATAGCAGCTGCCTCGTATGGGCCAATAGCAGCTGCCTCATATGGGCCAATAGCAGCTGCCTCGTATGGGCCAATAGCAGCTGCCTCGTATGGGCCAATAGCAGCTGCCTCGTATGGGCCAATAGCAGCTGCCTCGTATGGGCCAATAGCAGCTGCCTCGTATGGGCCAATAGCAGCTGCCTCGCATGGGCCAATAGCAGCTGCCTCGTATGGGCCAATATCAGCTGCCTCGTATGGGCCAATAGGAGCTGCCTCGTATGCCATCAACACATTCAGAACACCTCGAGTGAGAGCAGCCACATCCAGCCAGTCTCCCTCACTCCAACATCTTACTCGCCAACATTGCTCCTCCCACCATATTGTTATAGTTCTTATTACACATGTTCTATATACCTATCTACATGTTTTATTTACCAGAACTATGCAAGTAAGCCGGTATTGTATCCAAACAGTACAGTGGCCTCCATACACTGCATGAAAAATCACACAGCAGACGACGCTACGATTACGTCACCTCCCTCACCAAAATAGCTCCTCTCAACATTCACCTGTTGCTGTTCTTACACTATATACACACACTATATATACCCATGTACATATGTGTTGCCCATAGCGAACCACTAAGCTAGTATGGTGAGCAAAACAAGAGTGGCTGCCACACACACAATGAGGCTACCTCAATTCTCGCCCTCCCTCCCTCATCAAAATTCCTCCTTCCACAATACTACGCACAACGCTAATTATAACCACAATCCTGCTATTATCACAATCCTGGTCACTAATTCCTGTAAATGAATAATTGACCACACGTTTATTTTGAAAAGGAACCTAAGAAATCATTTGAAGATTCCTAGATGAACGAAATAATGCTGTGGTGCTGTTACTAGCGCTGTGAACATTGTGAACAGCATTGAATCACTGATATTTGAACATTGTACCTAGTCAGTATCACACTCAGGCTCTTCAATAATACTATCATGGCTAAATATTGCAAGTTATATATATATATATTTTGACATTATTAGGCCATGCTGTGGTCACATGCTGAACAGCAGTGCTGTGTGCTCATGCTGCGAGCGCCAGCCTTGGTTGCTCACACACTACTGAGGCTCCCACACCCGGGAATGTGGACCATGATTTTTTTTAAAGATGGCGTCTGTTTACAAGAGCCCTGAGGAAGCTGATGTGAACCCCATGTAGCCGCGGGAGTTTTGAATGGAACGTGAAAAATACAAATACCCGGAGGCGCGTTGCGCAAACCAGACGTGAGCCTGCAGGCGCGTTGCGCAGTTTAAGGGTTAACCCTTAAAGGGAGCAATACACATACAGCTGGTGTGAGTAAATATTGCGTGACGTGACGGCACACCACAGCTATGAATGGTTGGGAGTACTGTGTAGGGTTTAAAGGTCCCTCGACGACACGAGGTTCACATCATCATCCTCGGGGCTCTAGTAAATAGACACCAATAAAAAATAAAATCGTGGGCAATATTCCCAGGTTTGAAGGCCTCAGTACTGAGTGAGCAACCATGGCTGGCTCACGCCATGAGCTAACAGCACTGCTGTTCAACTTGTGACCACAGCAGTGCGTAAAAAACCAGCCTTGAATGTAATGAAACGCCATTTTCTGGGTGAGTCCCGGAGGCTCCCCGGAGTTGTCCAGGCTCATGTGAATATCCCTAACTTTGGCATCAGTTGATGTGGGTGGAGTTCTAGACCTACCGGGAACTACGAGCCAGAACCTGGCCTCCTCAGAGAGGCACAAGGAGCAATGGCCTATAGAAATGCACAGTGCAGGATAGGTTTAGGTTGTTGTAACATGCTCGGTTGGTTGCTTCCCCGGATGCCCCGAGGCTGCCCTGTTTTGCTTATAGGGACCCGGACTTGGGGGTGTTGATTGTTTCGGCCTTGGTTCTGTCCGCGCACCCTCGTTCTTTCCCTGCTGTGGTTCATTCGGTTCCCCCCTCCCCTGCTTCCGTCTCCTATGCGTCTGAGGGCTTCAGGGTTGGGGCAGGGTTTAGAGGTTTCTGAGACTCGGGCGGTTTCGGGGGTTGCTCCTTCCGGGGTGGCAACAGAGGCATTCGAGTCTGTTCCTCCAGTCGTAGCTCCAGGGTCTGACCAGTGGGCCTATTCTCTTCTTGGTATTCCGGCCACCCCGGCTTTTTCTTGTAAAGCTGAGGCTTTGGAGGACGACTCGCCTCCGGGGCCTAATGTGGAGGCTCTAGGGTTGGGGAGGAGCTGGCTTGGGAGCCTTGGGACCCGTTGGATCCCACCTGAGTCTTCCGACCCTCCGAGTGGGGTTTTCCTTTCTTCCCCCCTCTGCGTACAAGTTGGATTTGGGTTTGGCTCTTACCCGGGTTCTGTTCTGTGTCCTTGCGGGTCCTTCGGTTCCGTCCTTCCGCAAGTTTTTGGCTTCCCGCGTCTCGCCTGCTGAGGTGCAGGCAGCCATTGCGGCTTACTTCCTGTGCGACCCGGAGTATGCCTCTATACTGGATCTGCCTATCTGCCCATAGTTACTATGGGCAGATTCAATTCTGTTTTGTACTCTGTATTATGTTTCAGATCATCATTTTTGCCGTACCTGAATACCTGGAATTTATCACTGTTAAACATCATGTTATTTTCTGCTTCCCAATCGAATACTTTGTTGATACAGGCATACCTCAGAATGCGAGTTTAATCCGTTCCTGGAGACGCCTCGCCTTCCGAAAACTCGCATTCCGAAGTTAATTTCCCCATAAGAAATAAAGGGAAATGAATTAATCCGTTCCTGACTACCCCAAAAACCCCACATCAAACTAAATTTTTATACCTAATTTACCTAATTCATCTAAATAAACCTACAAAACTATGTTCCAGTTATTACTTACCTTGCTGTCGAGTGCTGTAGGCGTATGGAAGATGGTGAGGCGGGGGAAGGAGGAGAGGAGTTACTGTTTGGAAGGGGAGTCCCCTTCCATAATCACATCAGGCAGTGAGGACCTTTCTGGTGTGCTCTCCCTGGGACGTTTAACCTGAGTACCACTAGGTCCTGGTTGAGGCTCACTGCTCGATTTCCTCACCACAAATTTGTCCATGGAAGCTTGCTTTTCCCTTCTTCGCAAGCTCTCTCTGTAGTAAGGCATCACATTGTCATTGAAAAGATTAAGACAACGGCCTACTACAGCTTTGTCTGGGTGAGTATGTTCAATAGATGTTTGAATCTCTTCCCACATCTGACACACCTTCTTAATTACTGCAGAAGGGACACTCGCTGGTGCTGTTGGTGCTGCTGCCACCTCCTCCTCCACTGCAGAATCATTCGCTGCTGTGTTGGCTTGCTGTTCCTGTTGAAGGGCTAGGAGTTCTTCGGTGGTCAGTTCTTCGTTGTGTTCTTCCACCAACTCCTCCACATCATCACCATCCAATTCCAAGCCCATTTGCTGGCCTAGACTAACAATTTCCTCAACAATAGGCACATCATTTATAGGCTCAAACCCCTCAAAGTCTAGTTCTCTCACACCTTCAGGCCACAATTTTCTCCAGCCAGAGATCAGGGTTCTTTGAGTCACTTCTTGCCAGGCTTTGTCAACGAGTTTTAAAGCACTACAAATGTTAAAATGCTCTCTCCAGAACTCTTTGAGGGTGAGGTTTGTGGCTTCAGTCACTTCAAAACATTTCCGGAAAAGTGCCCTTTCATACAGTTTCTTAAAATTCGCTATGATTTTCTGGTCCATAGGCTGAATTAGAGGAGTGGTGTTAGGAGGAAGGAATTTAACTGTGAGGAATTTATTGTATTGAGGCATCAAATCATCTTCTAAGCCTGGAGGATGAGCAGGAGAATTGTCAAGGAGAAGCACGGCTTTGAGTGGCAATTGTTTCTCCAGCAGATATTTTTCTATGGCAGGGCACACCACTTCATTCACCCACTCCGAAAAAATAAGCCTAGTGACCCATGCTTTTTTATTAGACTTCCACATCACACACAAACGGGTTTTCTGCACATTATACTGTTTGAAAACCCTTGGATTTTCAGAATGATACACTAGCAAGGGTTTAATTTTCAAATCGCCACTCGCATTTGAACACAGCACAAGCGTAAACCTATCTTTCATAGGCTTGTGTCCAGGCAAGGATTTTTCCTCCTTGGTAATGTATGTCCTCTTAGGCATTCTTTTCCAAAACAGTCCTGTTTCGTCACAATTAAACACTTGTTGCGGTAGGTATTCCCCAGTCTCTGCAAACTCTTTAAATTCGTCAATAAATCGTCCAGCGGCTGGTTTGTCTGAGCTGGCTGCCTCCCCATGCCTTGTAACACTATGGATACCACTTCTCTTTCTAAATTTTTCAAACCAGCCCCTGCTTGCCTTAAACTCTTTCTTATCTGCATCACTCGTTGCAGGGGTCTTCTTTAGAAGGTCTTCGTGCAACACCCTGGCTTTCTCACAAATAATGGCCTCCGAAACACTATCACCCCTCAACTCCTTGTCGTGTATCCAAATTAATAACAACTTTTCCACTTCTTCAAGTATTTGTGGTCTTTGTGCCGTTAATGTTCTTACTCCTTTTGCCACATTAGCACTCATAATCTTATTTTTCTTCTTAAGTATAGTGCATATTGTTGATGTGGCTTTCTTGTACTGCCTACAAAGTTCAACAACACGTGTACCGTTCTCATGCTTCCGAATGATCTGTTGTTTCTCCTCTATTGTCATCCTCACATGAGCTTTCTGGCCTTTATCCTTACCACTGGCTTTCTTGGGACTCATGGTGAGATATATAATAACAAATTGTATAGACAAATCACCAAAAATCCAACAAAACACTGAAAATCCACGACAAGAATTGATGTGGGGGTAGTCACTGAGCGCGAGACAATGGTGAACTGAGGGGCAGCGGGGCAGAGGGGCGACGATCGCCGAACGACCACGCGCTAGGTCGGCTGTACGCGTATCAACAAACTCGCGTTCAAACTCGCCTCCCGAAGTAACCATTGCCTTCCGAGACAAATTTTTGGAGTAAATACACCTCGCCTTCCGAAAACCTCGCATACAGGGACAATCGCATTCCGAGGTACCACTGTATCTGCTTGTAGTTTTTCAATGTCTTCAGCAGAGGTAATTTTCATGCTGATTTTTGTGTCATCTGCAAAAGATGGATGACACGAAGCTGTGACTTGTGTTTTTGTCGATATCTGATGTGAGAATAAGGAAAAGCAGTGGTGCAAGGACTGTACCTTGAGGTACAGAGCTTTTAACTGCACTTGGACTCGATTTTATTTGGTTGGCTGTTACTCTTTGTGTTCTGTTCGACAGGAAATCGAGTATCCAGCGTCCTACTTTACCAGTTATTCCCATTGACCTCATTTTGTGTCCTCTCACTCCATGGTCACATTTGTCGAATGCCGTTGCAAAGTCTGTGTATACAACATCTGCATTTTGCTTTTCTTGTAGAGCTTCTGTGATTTTGTCCTAGTGGTTGTGTAGCTCATTATTTTTCATAAAATAGTGAAGAGGCACAATATCTGCAGATTTAAGTGCAGCTGGTATCTCCCCTGTATCCAGGCTCTTTCTCCATATTACGCTGAGCGCGTACGCTACTGGTACTTTACATTTCTTTATGAATATTGAATTCCACAAGTCAGGCCCAGGAGCTGAGTGCATGGGCATATTGTCAATTTCTCTCTTCAAAGTCTTTCGAGCTCTTGTTAATATCCGTTATATTATCTGCAGCTTGAATGTCATTCATAAAGAAGCTGTTTGGATCATTAACTTTCATGTTGTTCATTGGTGTGCTAAACATAGCCTCATACTGGCTTCTTAAAATTTCACTAATTTCTTTGTTGTCCTGTGTATGGTATGTACCTTCAGTTGTAATTAAAGATCCAATACTGGTGGAGGTTTTTGATTTTGATTTTGCGTATGTGAAAAAATATTTTGGATTTTTCTTTCTCTCTTGTATAGCTTTCTGTTCCAATTCCATTTCCTCAGACTCGTATGATCGCTTCAAGGTTTGTTCTATTTCTTCGATCTCCCTGTTTAGGTTTATTTTCCTTGTGATAGTCGTGTCTGCCTAAGCATTTCCGTTTTTATTCCTTCTCCTGTACAGTCGTCTGCGTTCTCTTTCTAGAGTGGTCTTCTTTCTGACCCTCCTCACAGTAGCCCGTCCTCCAAAAATGGGGAGGTAAATGTACACAGCCCCATAAGTGCAATTATGTACTATGTATGGCAGTCAAGAATTGTACTTATTCACACTTAGTATTAAATCGTACTGTCTAATATATTGTGAATATTTGAGTTTACCTTAAAAGCTGAATAGAAAACCACGACCTAACCGTCTTAGTTTGTGAAGATAAGCAATTTATTGCATCTTAATTATAACTATTACTTAACCTATAGCTATATTGATATTACAGTTTTATAAAACAAATAAAATAAAACTAAAATATTTCAGTAAATTGTAAAGTAACTCAGGATATTTTCAAATTTTGTATAAAATCTCTATTGTTTAATAAAAGTGGAAAAATAAAATCCTAATAATTAAAACTTGTTTATAGCAACTGAACTTTAAAATTTCATCTTAAAATTTCAAGTGTCCTAACAGAAAATGAGGAGACTTAAATCGGGGGAGGGGGATGGGTAAATGTAACAGCCCCGTAAGTGCAATTATGTACTATGTATAACAGTCAGGAAATGTACTTATTACACTTAGTATTAAAACGTACTGTCAATTCGGAGGATGGGTTGCTCACTGACACGTGCTTCAAGCAGACCGTGTATGCTTCAGCTGTCAGTTGAGCTATTCCCTGTGTGTGGGAGTTTTGTCGCTTAAGACCGTCTCCCATTGAATGTTTGCAAGATCTACATTTATTTTTTCCCAGTCGATCCTTTTATTGTTGATATTGAATTGATTGAATACCCCCTTCTCGCTTGTTGGGTCTCTTAGACCTACTACCGTTATTTATGCTAGTTCGCACTTCAATGAGCGTATGGTGTGAGTATGTAGTATCTGAGATTGTAAGGTCTGGTTGATACCTGGTTGATGGGGTTCTGGGAGTTGTTCTACTACCCAAGCCCGGCCAGCCCGGTTGGTCCGGCACTCCTTGGAGGAAGCAATCTAGTTTCCTTTTGAAGATGTCATTAGTTCTGATTAGAACTAATGAGATTAGACAGAGATGGTCTCTGATTAGTTCATCATTGTTTGTGAATAACAAGTCTTTTCGTTCCTAGTTGGTTCTGTAATCTGTTGATTGAGCGAGAATTTGTCACAGAATCTCAAAAGTTCTCTGGCCTGTGGTTGGTTATCTCCGGGGTCGTTCCCTGCTATGATATTTGTGTTTGCCATTCTCCATCTTAGACTTGGTAAATTGAAATCTGAAATCTCAAGTAAATTGAAAAAGTGAGAAAATCTGTAGGAGCCAGCCAGTCGTCCGAGCGGACAGCACGCTGGACTTGTGATCCTTTGGTCCTGGGTTCGATCCAAGGCGCCGGCGAGAAACAATGGGCAGAGTTTCTTTCACCATATGCCCCTGTTACCTAGCAGTAAAATAGGTACCTGGGTGTTAGTCAGCTGTCACGGGCTGTTTCCTGGGGTGGAGGCCTAGTAGAGGACCGGGGCCGCCGGGACACTAAAAAAAAAAAGCCCCGAAATCATCTCAAGATAACCATAGGTACGAATCCTCTTCATGGCTCCTACTGACTTTCTTGTTATTTTGATATTATTGGTTTGTCTTTATTGTACAATTATCTTGATGTTATTGGTTTTTCTTTGTACAATTATTTTGATGTTATTGGTTTTAATATTAATTATATATGTGACACTTTCAGATTGCTGACACTTATATTGACTCGGATAGCTACTTAGACAGCGTAATTGAAGTGAAAGATGGTAAGATATATTTATCATTTAAATTTATTTAATACATTGTAGTAAGTTACGATACAGGGAATTGACAGATGATGTACATTTAGTTAACAGCAAGTGATTTAGTTAATGACTAGTAATTTAGTTAACAACTTGTGATTTAGTGATAAGGAGGTAGTAAAGCAGATGCAAAAAATTATAAACCAATAGCTCTAACTTCAAATATCATAAAAATTTTTGGGAGAGTTGTAAGAAGTAAAATTACAAATCACATGGAATCACAACATCTACATCAGCCTGGACAACACGGGTTCAAAACAGGGTGTTCCTGCATATCACAGTTGCTAGAAAGCTATGACATGGCCTTAAGTGCCATGAAAGATGAGCAAAACACAGATCTGATATACACAGGTTTTGCAAAAGCTTTTGATAGATGTGACCATGGTGTTATTGCGCACAAAATGCGTGCAAAAGGAATTACTGGCAAAGTAGCGAGATGGATCTTCAACTTCGTAACGAACAGAACGCAGAGTGTAATAGTCACCACAGTAAAATCCGGATCATCTACTGTTAAAAGCTCAGTCTCCCAAGATACTGTAATTGATCCAGTACTTAATCTCATCCTGATATCAGACATAGACAAGAATACAAACTAAAGCACTACAGAGCACCACTTGGTTTCCGAATCCCTTGGGGACGAGACCCGTCGGTTAACATGTAAGTTCGTATGCGAGAAATAGAGGGAAAAAAATACGAAATGTAAAAAGAAATTTTTCTGAAAAATTTCTAAAAAAAACTGTAGGGGAAAAATCGACAGGTTCATAGCGTAAATGCGACCGTATTTTATTTGTACTCGCCAATAAGTGAAGTCCTGATCTGCTTTATAAAAGTCCTTAATTGTTCCTAGCTGATTATTAAGACGTCTGGCAAACATCCTCTGGATGTTTCCTGCCAGCCTGCAGGAACAGCCTGCCAGCCTGCAGGAACAGCCTGCCAGCCTGCAGGAACAGCCTGCCAGCCTGCAGGAACAGCCTGCCAGCCTGCAGGAACAGCCTGCCAGCCTGCAGGAACAGCCTGCCAGCCTGCAGGAACAGCCTGCCAGCCTGCAGGAACAGCCTGCCAGCCTGCAGGAACAGCCTGCCAGCCTGCAGGAACAGCCTGCCAGCCTGCAGGAACAGCCTGCCAGCCTGCAGGAACAGCCTGCCAGCCTGCAGGAACAGCCTGCCAGCCTGCAGGAACAGCCTGCAGGAACAGCCTGCCAGCCTGCAGGAACAGCCTGCCAGCCTGCAGGAACAGCCTGCCAGCCTGCAGGAACAGCCTGCCAGCCTGCAGGAACAGCCTGCCAACCTGCAGGAACAGCCTGCCAGCCTGCAGGAACAGCCTGCCAGCCTGCCAGCCAGCCAGCCAGCCAGCCAGCCAGCCAGCCAGCCAGCCAGCCAGCCTCTCTGCCTGTGCCAATCCCTGCCAGCCTGCCAGCCTGCCAGCCTGCCAGCCTGCTTGCCTGCCTTTCCCTCCCTCCCTAATTCTCCCATCCTCCCCTCACTACTTCCTTCCTGCCTACCTCCCCCTCCCTTTCTCACTAATTCTCCCTCTCTCTCTAATTCTCCCCCTCTCTCTCATACTGCCTTCCATCTAAGCTCCCCCATCCACCCACTAGTCAGCAATCACTGACGCAATGCGTGCATTTGGAGCCGACATGGTGCACAGATGTTTCTTGATTGTGCAGATATGTAAAACAAAATTACAGAATGAACTCTCCAGCCTTATGACAAATCAAAATAATAGGAATAATAGGCCGTGAATCTGTGAAATCACAGGGTAGAAGGCGGCAAACTGGACCATCTCCCACCCATCACCACGGGCCGGCGTGACGCTTGGGGACCGCTTCCTACCCGAACTTTATTCGTGTAACATGACTCCCCAACCCCAATCGGGAAACTGGAAGTTTCGGATAACTAAAGTTCGGAAACCAAGTGATGCTCTGTATATATAATAACAAATTTTATGCTCAAATAGCAAAAAATTTGAAAATAAACGGTAAATCCTTGTAAAGAATTCAGGCGGGATAGTCACTGGGCGCGAGGCACTTGTAAACTGAGCGGTGATCGCCATGCCACCATGCGCTAGGTTGGCCCGTACGCGTATCAACACCCTCATATCCTTAGGCAACGCTCATATCCCAATACAAATTTTCCGAGCAAATCCTGCTCGTAACCCGAAAAACTCGTAAGCCGAGGTGCCACTGTACTCAAAAGCATTGTGAATATTTCCTGGCAAGAAATGATTCAAAGAACCCTGATCTCTGGCTGGAGAAAATTATGGCCTGAATGTGTGACAGAACTAGACTTTGAGGGGTTTGAGCCTGTAAATGATGTGCCTATTGTTGAGGAAATTGTTACTCTGGGCTGCCAAATGGGCTTGTAATTGAATGGTGATGATGTGGAGGAGTTGGTGGAAGAACACAACGAAGAACTGACCACCGAAGAACTCCAAGCCCTTCAAAAGGAACAGCAAGAAGACACAGCCGAGGATGTTTCTCCAGTAGAGGAGGATGAGGCAGCAGCGAATGTCCCTTCCACAATCATTAAGAAGTGGTGTCAGATGTGGGAAGAAATGCAAACCTTTATTGAAACGACTCAGCCAGAGAAAGCTGTAGTAGGCCGTTGCATTAATCCTTTCAATGACAATGTGATGCCTCACTACAGAGACATCTTGCGAAGAAGGGAAAAACTATCATCAATGGACCGCTTTGTTGTGAGAAAATCGAGCAGCGAGCCACAACCAGGACCTAGTGGTATGCAGGCAAAACGTGCCAGAGAATGCACTCCAGAGAGGTCCTCACTGCCTGATGTTATAATGGAAGGGACTCCTCTTCCAAACAGTAACACCTCTTCTCCTCCCCCCTCCTCACCATCTTCCATATGCCAACAGCAGCCATCAGCAAGGGTAAGTAATAACTTGAACATAGTTTTGTAGTGTAGATTTTGATTAATTGGGTATACAATTTAGTTTGAAGTGAGGTTTTTGGGTAGTCAGGAATGGATTAATTAATTTTCCATTATTTCTAATGGGGAAATTAGCTTCGGTTTACAAGTTTTCGGGTTACGAGCTGTCGCCAGGAACGGATTAAACTCTTAAACCGAGGTACCCCTGTATAGCGATGGTTCACACATTTTATTATAAAAATATATCACACTACACACATTATTAATAATATTATTGCAAAAAAAAAAGAAAAGAAAAAAAAAATCAGACATTGAAATAATTAGGTATTAATGGTATTAGGTAATAATTAGGTATTAACCACTTAACTGCGCCATCTGAGTATTCTCGGATAGTGGGAAACTGTGCCAACCGAGAAAACTCTTTATGATTTTTTTGTACCCATTCTAAATGTGTGCGCGGTTGGTTGTGTACGAAATGGATTCTTAGGACGTCCAGTGAAAGGCAATCATCTTGGAAAAAATCCCAGAATGCCCTAGGGCTGCTGGCTGGGTTAGTACTGAATGAGTAACCATGAGTGGTTCAAGCGCCTCTGGCTCTCAAACACCTGCCCGATGCGGTGTTGAAAGATAACACTCTGTTGGTGAAATTCAAACTTTATTGCTTGAAGAACATAAGGGTCATAATATTGGTGAAGCAAGGCGCAGTAAGGACCTAACACAAAGGTTGGATGCAAGTGAAACAGCACCTATGAGGACGATACAGCGAGCGTATCCAGTTGTAGCTCTGAGCACCACCCTTGCCCACGTATGCTATCTCCAATTTATTTAGATGGTACACAGATGAATCATTTTCTGCGTTCAGTGATGATGCATCTTGTACAAGTAGCATAGATGAACAGTGTTAGTGGCTTCCATGGTGGTGTTTTCCATAGATATTTTCAAGAATAGCTGAATTTCTTTTTGACTGACGGACACTTTGAGGCGTGCTGAATCTCTTCCTGTGTGGGACCTTACAAAGCAATCTTTTCACGACTACCTCACAAATGGATCTTTTCCTGTAATCTTTTCAAGACTACCTTACGTTTTACAAGTTTGGCTACATACCACCTACAGGTACTAATGCCAAGGGTGTACATGAGTGCGTTATTTGCAAGCACACAGTACGAAGAAACAGGAAGCGAAAATCTATCTGTACCGGGTGCATCGAGAGCGAAGTTGTGCTGTTTACCATGGACTACTTCATTGATTATTACTCGCTTCCAAAGTACTGAGTGTATGTAATACAGTGTGTTACTGTGTAAATAGTGAGAGAAACTGTACATATTGTAATTTTAGTGAATTTTTAACAAGTAATATTGCAACAATAAACATTTATTGTGGACACATTACTGATACATGTATCACGGTTCCATGGATCACTACGAACTACTACTATCACTACTGTATACATATTGTAAAGGACACAAATATGCATCATATACGATAAAAAACCAAATAAAATCGCATTGGAAATACATAGAACATATAATTGAAAATATATTTGTGGCAACTCCTGGTGCTTGAATGGCCCGCACGACCGTGTCTGGGCATGTCACGCACAGGCGACCAGCCCCTGATGATGTCACAGTGCACCTTGTCCACAACCCAACAGCCAAAGTAAGTGGAATTTGGTATTTATTTTTACATAGACATGTTCAGGGAAGGGAATTTATTTATGAAGACATTTTTTTGGGGAACACTTGATTTCATGCGCACGGGGTTTTAATTTCACAATAAACTTGGCGCAGCACGGTGGTTAACCCTTAATCCTTAAAGTGCGCATCACTTCATATGAAGTGTAAATCGTTTTACCAGTCAACTGCGCTTCACTTCATATGAAGTGTATGGGTACCGCACGCGATTTGAATGGCCCGCGGTGTAGCTGGGGGGTCCCATACGCTGCCCAGGGGCTCTAGTAAACAGCGGCCATTTTGAAAAAAAATCCAGCTCACGATTCGATGGCATGGGAGGCCTCAGTTTAGCGAGTCACCATGGCGAGCGCACGGTCAAACGCCTCACGGGCACGCACCACTCAGTCCC